AGATGCATCAATCAATAATGTCAAGAAATAGGGGGAAATTATGTCTCTCATTTTTCTTTTCTAGTTAAAGAAAATGTACTGCTAAGGTAAGACTGCCCAAGAATAACCACAGAACAGATCTATAAAGGCAAATAAAGTTATAACAAGAAAAAAACCAGCCAGCAAATAGAAAACTACAAACTGCAGTTGAAATACCCATATAACTCTTTTAAGTTGCCAAAGAGGAGGTAATTAAAGGGCTAACAGTTCTACATCGACAACTGGAAATAGCTGTACATCAATAAATACAAAACAAGGTCATATTGCCTAGGAACTGGAGAAGACTGATAAAGATCCCCACACCAAAGAATGGAAAGGCAAGAGAATACTATATAAATATTATCGAATTATCTTATGCAATGCTTCCCTTCTGCAAACAAAGTTTTGCCTCAGATCTTTCACAGAAGAATAGACAAACAAGCAACATTTATTAATGGCAGAAGAACAAGATCAGAAAGCTAACTTAAGACAGAAAGTAGAGGAGGATAATTCAAGAAGAATTACCTTTGTTTTTTTGACTATAGGGAGGCCTTTTATTGTGTAGATCATGCCAGAATGTGGAATTCATTACAATTAATGGTTTTGCCAGAATACCTGATTATTCTTCTGAGGAATATTTACAAGAAACAAGAAATTATTGTAAAAACTGAGTTTGGAGAAATAGAGAAGTTCAAAATAGAATGAGGCAAGGATGCATACTGTTAGCTGGAATAAGAATTGGAGATCAAAATACTAATCATTTCAGATATGCAGATACTGTACCATTATTTAGATGAAAGTAAATATGACTTAGAAGAGCTCATTCTGAAAGTAAAAATGGAAAGTGAAAAATCTGTGTTAATGTTAAATATTAAAAAGATAATGTCGACCAGCATGTTTACTGAACTTGCAGTTCACAACAAAGAAGTTAAGATAAAAGATCATTTTGTTTTCTTAGGCTCAAGAATAGATAGATGAACCATGTGCTGGAAAAATAAAGAGGAAGATTAATGACAATTTTAGACAAGATTATGAAGGTTAAAGATACTCCTATGACAGCAGGGATCAGAATAGGTAAAGCAGTGGTTTTCCTAGTGGTATTGTATAGTTGTGAAAGCTTGACACTGAGAAAGAACAAAACAGAGAAGATAGACACTTTTGAATTATGGATTTGGAGATAGTTACTACAAGTACCATAGATTGAAAGAAGAACCAGCTAATTCAATTATGGACTAAATAAAGGCTGATTTCTCCCTTGAGATGATGATATGGAAGCAGAAACTTACAAACATTGATCATCATTGTAATATGAGTGGATTATGAAAACAATGAACTAGAAAACACCCGGAGCTACAGTGTTTGGGAACCATAGTGCAGTTTGTGACCTTAAACCTGGATACAGAATCCAAGCTGCATTCAGCAAGAGGCCAAGGTGTAATGGTGAAGACTGACCCTCTAGACTGAGTGGAAGGAATGTTCTCAAAGGACTGAGCCCTAGTAGGAGGACAGTGTAGCGGAGAGAGGTGACACCAGGTCAGGTTGGATAGAAAGGTCAATTTGGGTAGGGGATTTTATGAAGGTGAATGTGGGACAAGTTAGAGAAGCTACCAATCAGGTAGTCAGGCCATCACATAGTGTGAGATAGATGGCTACAGGAAATGGATGTAAGGATGCTGCAGATAGCCCAGGCTTGGCAGAAGCCAAAGAGGCCATTGGAGAAGAAGGTTGGGGGAGGACAGTGACAGGAAAATGATATAAGGGACAGCCAATTCAGAGGAAGAGGGACAGGTAATTTGCTGCCAGTCCCCACTCCTGATCTTAATGCCTCATTCTGTGGTCCTAGATGCTGAATTGCTGGAACCCTTAGCCTCAGACTACTCAGCTAAACACCAGCTCTGTCTGTCCTCCTCCATGATTTAACTGGGAAGGAGGGGGCAGATCTGGCATCTATTATTGATACCTGGCAGGGTAAGGAGGAGTTTTCTTGTCAACAATTTGTACCACTAGGATTTGAGTGCTGCAGCAGCTGTGACTCTGAGGCTAGAGAGGTGGAGTGGGTTGGCCTTCCAGGAAACCTGAGTGGTAAACAAGTGCCCTGCTCTGCAGATAAGTCCTTGCATTTGAAGCTGGATATTAGGAACAAGCTCACAGTGCGTCTGGTATTCAGGGTGGGCTGCCTGGCAGCAACTCTTCATGAGCTACCCAACCTGCTGCCAGTTGATTCCTTTAGGCATAAGGTGTTTGGGAAATTCCATGTCCATCTGTTAAGTCCTCCCAAGACTGGGAGTGGATCAGGATTTCATGGCCACCACGATAGCTAGGTAATGAAGAGTCCAACTCATATACGTGGACCTAATCTTTATCCTAGAGCAGTTGGTTCACAATCTGAATGTGGAAGATTTTTCAATGAGTCCCTTGTCAGGGACAGATCACTTTCTGATAATCCTGAAGCTGATCACTACTTACAGTCCCTCTGGAGGTATGGAGAACTGATCCTACGGGTTTCCAGCAGGTGTTTGGAGATTTTCCCAGTGATCCAGCTGGCAGTTCTGCTGTATTCTGTGGAATACAGAATCAGTGAGGGTCCTGAATGATATTGCCTCTAAGCAGCCTCTTTCTGTGAGCCATCCAGGGACACTCCAGGGTTTAAGGAGAAGCTTTAGGAAATGAAGTTGTGGAAATTCTGAGTGTCAGTGGTAGAAATAAAGAGTAAATGCAACTGAACATGGTTATGGGTGCAAATGCAGACATACACTATGGAAGTAAAGGTGGCAAAGAGTGGCACAGCAATGATATCCTTATTGCTTCTATGGAGGGTTGTCCAGCAGCAGATAATGACAGATGAAAAGACCTCTGCCTTGAGGTCACTCTGATGTATTTGAAAAGCATGCTAAGAACAGAAATGTATTTTACTCATTCAGAGCTAGCCATAGACATAGTATGTTGAGATGCCTCTGGGGCAACATCTTGTTATATTATCTAGAATCCCATAGGTCTGAGGAAGTGGACTCCAGAGTCTTCTGTAGTAAGAGCTCAACCATGCTGCTTCTCTTGGCTGTCTTCAATTCCCTGCTTCGAGGGAGCAGATTGAGATTTGGCCATGCCTGTGTGTGGTACACACAGGGTTTGATTCTCTCACTTACTGTACTTGCCATTTACATTAAACTAGTAGGCAACATCAGCTCTCAGTTCAGGATGAGGTATCATCAATCCATAGATGATACCCAGTTAAACAGTTCTCCCCTGCTTCTTGACCAAGCAGAAATTGCTCTAGACATCTTAAATGATGTGTTAAAATCCTAGTAAGACAGGGTAGCTGTTAATCCAGAAATCACTAGGGTCCAGTAGTTCCAACTGCAGCTATGGATACGGTTGCATCCTCATAGAAGAGGGATCTCTTGGACTCCTTCCTCCTGCTAGAATAGCAAGTGGTGGTCATGATCAGAAAAGCCTTTACTCAGTTTTGGGTGGTACACTAGATGCAGTCATTTCTGATATTCTGGCAACAGTCACTAATGAATTCAACTCCTGTTGGAGTTGTTGTAACGTGCTCTACTTGGGCTGTCTTTGAAGACTGTTCAGAAACAACAATTGGTCTAAAATGCAGTGGCCTGCTTACTATCAGGCTAGACCTGGTTCAACAATTATACCTATTCTGGGGAAGCTGCTTGTTTATGAATAGGTTTCTGGATACAATTCAAAGTCCTGGTTATTACATCTCACATTATTTTCCTACAGGACCTAGTTTTCTGACAGGACTAACTTCTCCAAGTCTTCCTTGTACATTCTAGCTGGGACTGTTTCTGATTCCCCCACCCAGGGAGTTGGGGGTGCATCACAGTTTTTTTCAGTGGCTGTTCTACATTTTAGGATTTTCTTCCTCTCAAAGTCGAGATGGTCCCTTCCCTGCTTTCAATGGAAGATAATCTTTGGTTGGATCTTTGGAGGAGGATTGGTGATTATGATGGCCATTATATGCTATCTTTGGTAGCTGTTTTATTTTGGCAATATGTAGATGTAATATGTGTCTTTGTAATTTTATGTTATTATGTGCTTTGGAGCTTTGATTGGGGCAGCATACAAATGGTGGAATGGGGAAGTCAATGGCTAAGGTAGAGGGACGGGATTAAAAAATTCACTAGAAGAGCCGGGATGTTGGTGAAGGCAGTTGGATGCTAGGGGCATTTGTTCATACAGTTGCCAAGGGTCAGGTCCAACTCGATGGCTTTTAGGTAATGTTTGGTCTAAGATGGGCAGCTTATGTCCTGAGTTCTGGGGAAAATGTAAAACAAGAAACAAAAATAAAAAACAAAGAGAAAGTAGAAAACTAAAGATTCAGGGGGAAAAGTGTTGTGGGTTTTGAAAAAAGGTCTAAAGTGGATGGAAACTCTACTCACAGTTCAGTGATAAATCTTGATAGGTAAGATTACAGGTTTGATCCTAACCAAGACCAGATAGGGTTGACAAAGATTCCTGTCTGAAACCCTAGAGAGGTGTTGCTACTCAGGAAACACAGAACATAAGTCAACGGTATGCTTTGCTACAAATCTCCCTCCTGTGATTTACATTATATTTACATTATATCTAAGTGCAATTTATCTCACTTAGAAAAATTTGGGCAATCTTTCTTGATCAAGCAGCACATTCCTTCACAGACATACATTGGGAGGCAGCATAGCAGCTGGGACCAGAGCCAAAAGTGAGTGGGGATTCCCAACACTGTGCAATGACCAACTGGTTTCCTGTATTCTGGAGTAAGCACATAGCATCCCAATCAAAGCCATTTAACCTGTTAGTTGCAAGTAACTTGTAGTGTGTTACTCACTCCTGCCAAGTGCTGAATTATGGCAAATGATTAAACAAAAGGATAGCCAAGCGATTAGAAAGAGCACAAAACCAAATTATAAATTACCCATTTTATTGAATATCAATAAATTGCATATAATTATATATAAAAGTTTTTTTTTAAATCAGTATAAAATTGTGGCACAAAAATATATAAATACCAGTGTACCTTTGAAATGTAAACATACCCTTTTGTTTTTCATCCTTTTTGTTGATGTTTATGATGTGGAAACAATGTACAAAAGAAATGCATTCAGGAGGCACCTGTCAATAACCGTAAGTGGCTCTTTTGGCACACACCTGTCAATGGGGCAGCCTCCCCTACCCAGGCGGCTATTGAATCGCCTGACAAGTGCCTGCTATTAGTCACAGTTCTTTTGAAAAAGCAGTTGTTAAAAGAAGTCATATTAACAGGTGCTTGAGTGCATAGCTGCTCTTGTAAACAGGAGCCTTGCTTTGAATGGCTACCCAGTGCCTTCTGCAGACATAGTTCGTCTTTGAAGCATTGCGAATTATCCCTCTGCTGACCCAGAACTAATGCAATACTGTATTCCTGCATAGCTGCACTAAGGAGGGTGCATACACAGTACAAGGAGCAATGGAGAGTTTGAGGTGGTGGCGGGGGAAGCGTTAACACTTAGATTTTTGCCCTTTGTTTAGAGGCATATCAATTCAGTGTCACGAGTTACTGTGAATCTATTATTCTGGTCATTTTCTTTAAGAGTAAAAATGAAAGATTGTGATTTTTCAGGCAAGCTAGGCACAAGATGCAGAATATTCTCACATTTGTAAAGCAAACAGGGAACATTAGCGACTGCTGTTAATTTAGATGGCTTTGAAGAAGCTGATTAGGAAAAATTCTCAGGGGATAAGACTCAATGGCTGTTAGATAAGAAAGCCCTCATGGAGTTTCCATGTTTAGTGGCAGTATACTTCCGAGTACCAGATGCAGGGGGTGGGAGAAAGAGGTCGTCAGCACCTCTATAATCTGCTTGCAAATTCCAGAAGGACGTATCTGACCCCTTTTAGAAGTAGCTCAACAAAATGTTTTTAGCCAGATTTCAGTTTGGAATAGCTGTTCCCATACTGGTACCCTGCAGAAGTGTTGGCTGTAACACACCAAATTCCACAACAAAAACTCCATTTCTAAAAATGCTGGGGGTATTTGTCCAACACATCTGGAGGGTACCAGGTTTTAGGAGCTCATTTTAAAACATCCCACATTGTTTTGTCAACCCATCATTTCTGATGCAGCAGTGATCCTTCCTGTGCTTGAATCAAGAAGCATATTGCCACTGCGGGAGCCAGGGGATGGAATAAAATGGCAAATCAGGTTTTAAAAACTCTCCTGAAGACAAAGAGCGAAGTATTATGTATGATGCTTTAAGGCTTGAAGCAGCTGGAAACAACCAGAGTTCAGTACATGCTGTTTGTGACAGCTCAGCAGAACTATTTTCCTACGGACACTAGTTACAATACATGGATTGGCATGGAGGAGTCCATGGTGTTCAGCAGGAGCATTCAGCGGGTTCCAATGCAACCTGTTTCTTCATGTTTGTGGAGAAGTGACATGCGAGAGAAAGTCCGGGAGCAAGTTTTACACTGATACTTCTTAACATCTGAGTGGGTCTGCAGATGAGCACGGAGGTTTGAGCGGTCAGCAAAGGCCCGGCTACAGTGCGTGCAGGAGAATGGCTTTTCCCCTAGAAAGATAAAAGGAGGAAAAAGGATTGTCAACCAAAGTTAAGGACCTGAATCTTGACAGGAAGCTTGACAAAACATGTGACAGAAAAAAAAAAAAAATCACCTCCTGACCCTTTATGTCATATTCCCAATCTTTTACAACTACAAGTCACTAATACATAACTGAGGAAGAGAGGTGTGCTCATGGAAATCTAACGATTCATCCCAGGTTTAAGCAAATTTCTACTAACACCATTCATGGCTTGGAAATACATTCTGCTCCAACCACCAAATCTATAAATGGCTTTGTGTTCAGATATTAGCACAAGTTCAAATCAGACAGATGCTGGATTCCAAAATAAAGTGATAAAAAGCAAGTATCTTTAGGTTCCCAATTTCAAAGGAAAAAAAAAACAAGGCCCCACCTTGGAGGCTGGATTGTGTTTACCTAGGGTGTCCTCAAAAAGCTAAGTTTAATCTAGTCAGTTCTGGGGTGGGAAACACCAGGTAATCCCTGGACTCGACTGTAGTAACCTAACCCCCCTATTCTTGCCAAAATAACATGTCCATGTTGTCAACAAAAGTTCATCTGGACTCAGGAAGATTTTACTTTTATTCTAACAGAGCTTGGTTGAAGTGAACATGTAGGGGACTGTAAACCAAATCTGAGATCCTATGTACATTTATCTGGGGCATCACATCCTTGGACCCCAGAGGGGCTTACTTTAAGGATACACACATTGCACTGGTCTGCATGCGATAATTTAACAAAAGCAAACAACTAGTCAAAGCTTGGTGAGAAATGCCCTCTTCTGCCAACTTACTGCAGCAAAGGCTGAAGCATTAATTGTACCCCCTTTCCAAGTATAGCTATGTCCTTTCCTTTCCTTTCCTTTCTCCCCCTCCTTCAACCACAACAGCAGGGCTGAATTCCTGACACGGAGAATTCTTCTGGAGCTAACCAACAGGCCTGCTCAATTTGGAAAGCACAATTAAGCCTTTCTGGCTTCCTTCAGGCAGTCACCTTTAGGACTTTTAAAAGGGTGTGAAATCAGCACTAAGTAACAATTAAAGGATCCTGCCCCCCCCCCACACCCACCCACCCAACACAAAAGCTGCTTGGAGGGAGAGGCATTGTAAACGTGATACTCCTTGGATTAAACACTCAAAAAGCTGCAGCTGTGGAATCTGGTGTTCAGCCTGGGGCGTTACAGTAACAGGTGCAGGAAGGGAAGAGCAAGCTCAGCTACATAAGAGCACCTGCCAAGGCAGCTTCTTGCTTCCAAAAGCCCTTCCCCACCACTTCCACGGTCCCATTAGGCAAACAATGCTGGAATGAAGCATCTCCCAGCACCACCTTTTGTGCCCAGAAGCCAGCTTATCCTGCTTGAACCAGGGAAGGCATCAGATATCAGAGGGAGCTTTCAGGCGCCTTCCAGGCAGGAAGAGCAAGGAAGGAAGCCGCTTCCCCCTCCCTGCAAATAGGTGGCCAACGTTTTTATCACCTTTTATATACTGGAGGTTAAACAAGAAGGAAGTGGGGGGCGGGAGATAGGAAAAACCTTGCAGGGTGTTGAAATGCAAATGCAGGCGAGGCAAATTGGGAGGCCTGGGCCACTGGTTTGAGGTTATGCATGCTGGCTGCGCTGCATTGGACTGCAATCCTCACAGCAAGCCCTTTCAGTCCAGTCCCCACCCCCACCCCCACCCCCCACGTGTGCTTGGAATGACTCAAGGCTGATTCACATGATGGAGTGCCTGCTAAGCTGACTTGCCTGTGTCTGTGTCCCAACTAAGTTTGTTGGCATGGTGATGTGGCCATGGAATCACTTCCCCAGGACCACTGCCAATCTAGATTTTCTGTAAACGAATGAAACAATGGAAAGAGGGTGGGAGTAGTGACCAGATAGCTGCTTCAGGATGACAGTATTCATAGGAATACTGACTGAATGAACCCAATTTCCTACATTTACAGAACATCTAGAGCCATCAGCTAACCACATGACCTGCATTCACACATCATGCTAGACTAAAATGTGGTTGGCTAGTTTTTGGATCAATGTGTTGTACAAACACCAAGGGGGTGGTCTCTGGTTAGAAAAATGGGATATAAAACAAGTAATAAAGGTATGAAAAGAAATGGAATACTGTTGACTTATAAGCATAAATCTTATGCTGCCCAGAGTCACCCATTGGGGGAGATGGGCGGCATACAAATTTGAAAATAAATAAAAATAAATAAATAAATCTAGATTTGCGTACAAAGGTGTCCTAGACACCTTTATCCATGGTTAAGTGGACTTACCACACATTAAGCTATAAATGAATTGGGTTTTATATAACACACTGTGCTATAATGGGGTTGGCTGGTTTGGGGCTCAGTGTGTTGTGCAAACATCATCTATGTGTTCAAAAGGGAGTCCAAAATCAAATAAGTCACAGGTTGGCAAGTCTTGGCCCAAACAGGGTGAGTTTTGGGCAAATCTGTTTTTAAAAAGTCTTAATTAAGACAGCATTTTTTTTTCCAGAGAAACACCCTTTGGAGACCTTTATCTCCTCTGATAAGCTACAGGCAGTGTTGACGTGAATCAGGTTACAAGCAAAGGTAGGGAGGACTGGGGCTGGAGCAAAGATAAGAGAGGAAGATAGCAAGGACCAGAGACACAAACAGAAGAGTCAGCTTTACCAGTGTGCGTTCTGATGTGGCCCTGCAGGAGCCACGGCCTGGAGAAAGCCTTGCCACAGATTTTACACACACAGGGCAAGGTATGGCTTCGGATGTGCATCTTGAGAGCCCCCAAGCTCACATATTCCTTTTCGCAATATTTACAGCTGAAAGATTTCCTGGTCTGGGAATCACAATGCAACTGTCTGTGCTTGGAAAGGCCTGCAAAAGTTGAGTAGGACTTGCTGCACTGGCTGCAATGGAATTTCTCGGCTTCTGTGGCCGATGAGGCTGGGCTGGGCGGGTCAGAGCTCGTCTTGCCATCCTCCTCTTCGCTTGACAGGGAGGTCAGGTCCAGGGGTTTGGAGTCAGGGCTGGATGGAGAAGCTGCACTTTTCTTGTACTCCGATTCAGAGGTGAAGAAATTAGAGAACAGCCCTGTGTCCCAGACCAGAGGAGGGTAGTAAGAGCCAGCACCCAAGAGATCTGGTTGTGGGATGACAGACAGGGGATACTTGTCATACAAAAATGGAGAGACAATCACTGCAAAGAGACCAAAGGAATCCATTAGAAAGCAATCTTGCAGAACTGGACACAACCCTACCTCCTTTGATACCCCTTTGCTTTTGGCACGCTTGTAGAGCATTTGAGTAACACATTCTCTGGGCATACGCCAAGGGCCAGAAATCTGATTAACACAATCGGGACTTCTCCAAGCGCACCCAAAGTGCCACAACTTCCTTTCAGTTGGAATTAGCCACGAGGGGAGGCGAAAGTAGCAAAACCCACAGCATTAGCACTTCTGGGAAGAACTGAGACTCCCATAGTTTCAGGCCACTTTAAACAGTCTCGGCAAGGGCTGATGGGACTTGGAGTTTTACATTTCCAAGTCAAAAGCAGCCGGCGATAGGGCATTCCGTTGTAGGGCTATCGGGAAGGAGGGCCGCTGAGTTCAAAGGGGTTTACTCCCAATTGGCTGCCTGCAAGCGCTGGTGCACGCAGTCACCAAGCCAAGCCCGACTCGACTGGATGGCACCTCACTAGCCTAAAACCAGATTACTTCTTCCATAATTGCTAGCTAGTATCCGCCGCTCCGCGTCCCCCGCGAGGCGACGATCCACATGTTTCTCCCGAGTTATTAGCGGGAAACTTTCAGCCCCTGAGCTGAACCCCGCCCAGGAGCTCGACGGGCCGCTTGAGC